GTAGAACCCTTTTCAAACAAGTTACATATAAAACCATCTACAGCACATTTTCCATCAACCTGAAGAACGATTTTATAATGCAAAGAACCCTTTAGTCACACAAAGGGTTCTTTGAGTGTTCTACATAGAACCATTTTCTTTAGTAAAGGACCCTTGAAGAAGCATCTTTTTTAAGAGTGTGTAGTGTTACATATGGTTGGGGCTACAGATGGTTTGAAGGGTCAAACAGGTAAAAAAACAGGTTTTAAAAAGTGTTTTTTTTTGGTGCTTCATGAAAATAAAGGTACTGCAGATGTCAAGCTTGGTGTGTTCTTGTCATTGCCGGTGTTCCACTGCTGTGTCAAATTCACTTAACCGACATCCACTTAACCCCCGCCCCCGCCCCGGATTACAGCAGGCTCCTCCTGTAGGCCATAAATTCACGCTGTGTCAGCGACCATTTAAATATCAAATCCATTCTTCAGGCTTTTAGTCTAGACACATTTACTTACTCTAAACTCATTTACAGAGTTTCTACTGCACTAAAGCCGCTGCTATTGATCCAGTCTGTCTCTCTCTCTCTCTCTCTCTCTCTCTCTCTACTATCTGTAATCTGCAGGACTTTCTGTGGTTGTAGGAATGCATTGATAAATGTATCGTGTAGTTTTCTGTGGTTCTTCTATACTACATGTTGTTTATTGTTTATTGTACTCTGTCGAGTTACTTCTTGATGCCCCGTCATGTGGCAATAAAAGAATCAATCAATCAATCAATCGATTATTGTCTAAATTCCACTACTGTGTGAACAGGTACTTCAGTTAGTTTTGGTTATTCTGTGTATATTTCAAATTTCTTTCTTACAGAAGAATCTAATTGAATCATGATAAAATTTCATGACACATCAAATCAGTCAGAGATCAGAGTGTTTAGTCTGAGTCCACTCTGTGTTTAGTGTGAGCTGACACTGTTCAGTATGAGTCGACTCTATGTTCAGAGTGAGTTGACTGTGTTCAGAGTGAGTTGACTGTGTTCAGAGTGAGTCGACTCTTTGTTCAGTGTGAGCTGACTGTTCAGTATGAGTCGACTCTGTGTTCAGTATGAGTCGACTCTGTTCAGTATGAGTCGACTCTGTTCAGTATGAGTCGACTCTATGTTCAGAGTGAGTCTGTGTGAGTTGAACAGTTCTCTGCTCAGCTGCGTTCTGTCATTTTAATCAGCGCAACTTTTTTGGACGCTCTAATTTTAGAAGAGGGATGTAATATCACATCCTGCTGCCACATACTGAGACATTTAAAGATGCTGCGGTTTTCTGCTGATTCTCAAATTTGAAAGGCAACTCCACCAACTTTGAATAATGTGTGCATAATTCAGTCTTCAAGATATAAACATTCAGTGTTTTGGTGTGAAATGCTTCATTTTAAAGACTCAAATATAGACATTTTATTTACTATCCAAAACCACCAGTGAACCTACAGGAGTCTTCTGAGTTTATATGGAATGTTGATGATGGAAAATAGTGGAAAAAAGAAAATGATATTATATAGAACCATGAACACTCAAAGAACCCTTTGCATGATTAAATGGTTCTTGCATCATTGCAGATTGCTGTAGATGGTTCTAGATAAAACCTTTTTGAAAAGGGTGCTGTATAGCACCAAAAAGTGTTCTTCTATAGTTACAGACTTGACATTGTAACAGTAGCAGAACCCTTTTCTGGTGCTATATAGAACCACTTTCAAAAATGTTCTATATAGAATCATATACAACATATTCTTTATCAATCTGAAGAACCATTTTACCATGCAGGGAACCCTTTAAACATGGAGAGAACACTTTAATCATGCAAAGGGTTCTTTGAGTGTTCATGGTTCTATATAGAATCATTTTCTTTGCTAAAGAACCGTCACTTTAAGAGTGTAAGGTTGATTATGGACATATTTAGTGTACACAAAGCTGCTGATTGGCTCTCTGGTGACTCAAATGTCCCAGGATGCTTTTGGTCATGGAGGCTAATAAGCAGGCAGTGTGAGATGATGTACAAGCCGAGGCAAACCAGGGGGTCTCCAGAGACCCCCAGACAGCTGGTGATTATCGGAGGTGAGAAGTGAATATGAAATCTCCTGTTTGGAGAACATTAAAGTGACAGAAAAATATAAATCCCCCCAGTTTCCCCTCCTTAGACCAAATGTAGCCGATCAGCTGAGACGTGTTTGGTGTCTCAAGTTTGGTTCTTTGGTTTTAGCCAGAAAACTTGTAGAGAGGAGAATTTCCACTCTGTAATGTCTTCCGGGTTTCTCAAACGCTAGAGGGCGCTCCCGAGCGAGTCCAAAATGAATGGGTTAAGATGGAGCATTTTAGCAAAATCATAGTTCATAAATGCTGAAACATTTTTAATGTAATAGAATTCATTCATTTCCTGAACAGCATAAAACATTTTAACACTACTGTTATATTTTTAAGAGCTTTTAAACTCGAATTATAGGAGTTTAAAACGGCGCCTCATGTACGTTCATGACGTCAGTGAGCGTGAACAGCCAATGAGCTGGGTCATTCTACAGAAACGTTCACTTTCTGTCTCTCCTTAGGAGTCACTGGTGTTACTGATTCTCATTGGTGTTCCACATAATAAAGGAACACCAGAGACATTTTTAATGAACAATGCATTTTACAAAATAACTGCTACAGAGCATCAAACCACATGTTGTCAATCATGGAAAATCCACTAAAATATGTAATTTAATCCATTTGTGTTCTATTTTTTCACAGTGACCTCAGAATAAGGTTAGTAGAATAGTTATCATTATAACTGAAAGACACAGTGGACTCACCATGTGCTTTTTTGACGAGCTCTTCTGTGGTGCTTGGAATTCTATATGATTGATTTAAAAAACAATATTGCTAAATTGAGGCTCAAGAAGGTGTAATTGTGAAAATAACATTGTTTTATTTTAAACTATAAATAAATTGTAACCCTAACATGTTTTTTTAAGTGTAATATATCTGTAAATGCTAGGGACACAAAAATGGACATTTCTGTATGACCCAGCTGCTCCGCTCACCAACCAATCAGCACTGTTTTCTTTGCTTTTTTAGTGAAATCCATTCTTCTACTGTCTAAAATTAAAGGAACGTTCTGGTTCAGTGATTAGAAACTATTTTAATTTTTTGTTTTTAGCCGTTTAGCTCCATTTACTCCCATTCACTGAGGACTCGTTCATGGGCGCCCTCTGCTGTTTGCAGTCCTGTTTTTGATAAAACAGGGGAAATAGGAACCCTAAAACTCCTTCATTTTTGAAAAGGTTGATATATACAGTACTGTTGAAAAGTCAGAGACCCCATTTATTTATTTAATTTCCAGTCATAACAGCCATTAATTCCTCGTTTATCAGGAGATATTTGTGAGATTAAATGTAAGATAACCCACCTGCATAAAGAAGCACAAAGTCAGAGTGAAATACATGGAGTTCAAAAACTGATTAAAAGCTACAGAGAAAGTGGAACCCCTAACAACCACCTGGAAGACCTGTTAGACCCCAAAACTGCCCCCATCAGATAAACAGCACTTAAAGCTTTCATCTCTGAGAGAGAGGAGAAAATCAAGCTGATCAGATCTGAAAACATCCACAGGTGTTTCTGTCCATCCTTCCACTGTGAGAAGACGACTCAGCACTGTGGGTCTGAAAGGATGTGTAGCTGATCAAGAAGAACCTCACTGAGAAAAGGAGACGGACACATCAAACAAAGAAGCTGAACAATGGACTGACCACCCCAGAGTCCAGACCTCAACACCACTGAATGTGTTTGATTACTTCAGAAAATCATCAACCAGCTTCTAAGACTGAACTTTGGAGGTGAGTCTGCAGATTCTTTGAGGAGCTGAAAGTGAGTCTCCTGAACAGAATGGAAGCTGGAATAAAGGGGAAGAGTGACTCACTGACTCACACAGCTGAGATTAGAGTTAGCTGGTGAGGCTTCTTTGTCACTTTCTGTTAAATATATTTTTTCTGTTTTTCCTGAAGCTGAAAAATGAATAACTTCTTATATAACTAATACACTTTATGGCCGTTTTGACTGCGGAAAATGAATAACTGAAGGGTGGTCTTTGATATTTCATTATCAGATAGGGTCTGTCAAGTCCTCAAATGGAGATATCTCAATACATCACTGGTCTATGAGGCGAGTAGGCATGCTTACAACAGATAAGGTGATGGGTAATTTTTTTTATTTTGGCTGGAGTGCCCCTTTAAGACAGAAAACACACTGAAAACTTTACAATAACTTTTTAATTCTTTGGAACTTAAAAGAACATCACTTACAGTACATGTACCAGCATAGAAGAGAACAATAACCCACCAAACGCAGTGTACACACACACACACACACACACACACACACACACACACACACACACACACACACAGCTGAATATGAGAGATACATTCAGAGAAACAGACAGACGTCACTCAGTGAGGCTACAGACTGTAATAAATACGGGACGCCTTGTTTGTCCCTTTGTGACGGCCACTTTTCACTTTACACTCACGTTCCTATTGGTCACAGAACAAAAAGGGGGCGGGGTGTAAACACTGTGCTCCGCCTGTGCTCCTCACACATGCAGCAAAGACTTGTGGGAAAGTGAAGTAGAGATGACAGGTTTTTAAGCTTATCTGAGAAACACAGTTCAGCTCTGACTGAACGTTTCCCTTCTGTGTCCCAGAGTACGTGAACAGTAGAGCTGCAGTGAGTGGAAAACATCCTGAATGTGATCAATACATGTAATTTCTCATATAATCATCATTTTTATATCAGATACATTTATAATCCTATACTCCAATTATTTTTATCCAACAATTTTCTGCAGTTATCGGATTATTAAGTGCATATAAACGTATGTTTTTGTATGTTTTTTCCTTCTCTTGTTAAGTTAGCATTCTGGAGATATGAGGTTTTGTTCCGACAACAGTGACATATATATATCTCTATCTATCTATCCATCTACATATATATATATATATATATATATATATATATATATATATATATATTCCTATACACTAACTGGAGCTCTTGCTATGGCTTTCAAGTATTTCAGTAATATAAAATCAGTAAACCAGAGATGGCATATGCACACACACACACACACACACACACACACACACACACACACAGGGGAGCACTGGAATATCCACTGCACAGCACGAGGAAGGTCAAAGGTCAAGTGGTCATGGTCTAGTCCTCCAGAGTGCGGAAGGCGTTCTGCATGTCCTCCAGCAGCTGAGCGTAATCTGCTTTAATCTTCGCTTCACCCTCCTTCACTGGGTCCTACACACATACACACACACACACACACACACA